TCCTCACGGTGGGCAGATAAACACATAAACACTGTCAGGATCTGAATTATGCCTGCCCACAATTCAACTCATAGTGGAAAGCTAATTTTGTTAAGTCGGAGAGAATTTCTCTCTTGGTTTGAACTTTGAAGAGAGGAGGCTGAGTCTCAAAATGGCCACCAAGTGTCAAGCTTCAGTATTTCATTGACAGGTTTAAGTTTTAAGCCAGAGTCGTCAGCAGGAAACGCTGCCGTTTGTGCCCGACAGATTCAGGATTTTGTTTTATTAAAGTGCCCGTATTATGCTTTTCCGGATAAGGCTGTTTGTGAATGTAAAAGTTCTGCTTAGATAAATTTAGTTATTTTCTCTAAAAGGAAAAACGTCTGACGTGTCTGACTTCCTGTTTGAGCCTACATGGGTTTGTAAAACAATTGCATAATACTATGCAATAAATGCAATATGCAGCCATTGTTTACTGTTCATTTCACTGTGTATCAAGCGCTGAGGAAGATCTGAAATTCAGATATGCTGTCGACCAATCACAGTGCACTGAGCCGTCTGACCAATCGGAGCAGAGTAAGCTCTCGAAATGTCTGAAATGGTTTGATCGAAGATTCAGTCCGTGAGAAAGTGGTGATAATGCAATATATATTATGGGAATTATTTGTGTTTTTTTGACCTTGGATCTATAATAGGAGACTCCAAAACAAAATATATAAATACCATATACTGTATATTGACCATAAATAGGGGGTAAAAGCACTGCCATATTACTGTTCGTATCAGAACTGTATCAGTGTAGTTTTTCACCACAAATTATGCTGTTAAACACGATTATTTTAAAACTAAGTTCAAATAATAAGTTAAAAATCTGTTTCCTTATGAAGAAAATGTATGTTTTTACCTCCAATTGCACTGTTAATGGCCGCTTGGTGTCTGACACACGCTATAAGCAGTCAATCAACCACAACAGATCGGACCAATCAGAGCAGAGGAAGCTCTCGGAAGGCGGGGCTTAGACACTGAATCTTCAATCGAATCGTTTCTGTGAGAAAAGAGCTGATGCTACACTGTATATTATGAGAAAATGATTGTAGGACTCTTTAAAATAGCATAATGGGGCACTTTAAACTAGTATTACCCTAATGAAAAATATGTGCCGTGTCCACCGAAGCGTTTTCCACGCGCCTGGCGTATGTTTTCAATTGTTTTCAATGGGAGCGCCGCGTTTTTTAAACGCCATGAGGCGCTGACCCAGATAGCAAACTGACATTGAATCAACGTGGAAACATGACATCGAAACAACGTTGATCTGGCATTGTTTTGCTCATCGAATTAACGTTTAACCAACGTCAGACGCGTCATTCTTTAAAACTAACGGAAAATCAAACTTAAAATCAACGCTGTTTCAACGTTATGAAAGCAAACCAATTGCGTTGATTTTCATTTAGCTTTGAAGAATGCCGCGTCTGACGTTGGTTCAACGTTAATTCGATGAGCAAAACAATGCCAGATCAACATTGTTTCGATATATGTTTCCACATTGATTCAATGTCAGTTTGCTGTCTGGGGAGTTTTTTTTTCACGCTGAAGCGCCGAGCGTTTTTTTACTGGTCGCTGGGAGTTGAAAAATGTTCAACTTTGGATAAAACACAGCGCTCATCACTGTCACTTTTTACCCAGCCGTCCAATCACAGTGATCCGGAGATCCGAAACGGACGACAGACGTTGCCTAGCAACACGCCCCCTTTCCTCGGATTTCTCCTCTCGGACATCGGACAACCGTGAGGACACCGAGCAAGAATTCCGTTTCGGAATTCAAAATGGCTGGGCCCTGTGACTTGTAAGAATGAATTGTATTCATTTTTTTTTAACCGATTTGGTATTTTAAATGACGATTATAATCACTCGTATTACTGCGTCCCCTGTAGGTATGGGAATCGATTGTTGTGAGTGCAATTACTAACGTTGCTAGCGTTGCTAACAGAAGATTAACATGAAAAACTTTAAATAAAGTGAACATTTTCAAGTTCAAATGGCTGCGTTTTGATGAGGTGTAGTCATAATATGTTTATTTTAATGTACTCGGCCAGCTACCATTACAACAGCTTTCTCCGACTCGGACAAGCAAAACATAATAGAACGCTTGAAACGTGGACGTGACGTCAAATCCGAGGTCCGAGTCGGTTCGTTGGGTATAATAGAACGCACCATAATACCACACCGACCAACTGTCAGAACATTCAAACTGCTGCGGATATTCTGTATCATAGCAACGAAACGTCTCAACGGAAAAAACACTGCGCTGCTAAAACGCTCTCAAGCGCCCAAAGCACGGCGTCTTCAGCAGAGCGTCTAGCGTTTCCAGCTGGTTAAAAACGCTTTGGTGGACACGGCCTTGCAGCTTTCCAAAGTAGGCTACAAATGTTATTAATTGTCACCAACTGTAACCGGCTATATTAATTGGAACATGTTACACTGAGTATCCATAGTTTTAAATTGAATAACTAATATAATTGTGGTAAATTTTGGTAGTATCACTAGTTTTGTGTATATTATTAGTTATGTGATATATATAATATAGTCACAGGTTTATTCGGGTTTATTAAAATAATTGGTAAAAACATGACATGGCAGCGTTTCCTGCGAATGTCCGGCCGAACGACTGTTCCATCAAACGCTATTTCACTTTGATTCTGAATGTGACATTGAAATATTTTCTTTCTACAGTGAATTGTATGACTATGTAATGCTTAATGTACACGGGGCTCTGATTATGACTTGCGTTGAGTTTTGATGCTTTTTATTGCTGGATCAGTTGAACTCTTGACCGATGCATGCGTTCGTTTGTGATGCGCTTCATTGTGATGCATGGATGAACAATATGCTTCATATGACATCACGCTCTGATTGGTTTCTCTGAATGTTTGCTTGTTCACTGACATGCAGAATTAAACTCCTATGTGAATGCTCTCTGTCTCTCTGGAGCTGTTAGTTGGCGATTATGGATTATTGTTTTGTTGTTTTGCGGTTCGCATTGACCTGAACATTAGTAACATTAGCGTGTAGTCCTCTAGATGGCAGCAGCAACTTAGGAATCAAATGTAATGTTGATTTAAGGCTCTTTTCTTGCTTTGGATTAACAGTTACATTTAATAAATAGAAATATTCATTCACATGATTTTTATTCAGTTTAGTCTATGTTAACAGGTAATCTGTGAAATAAGCCAAGTCAAATATCTTGATTTCTATAGTTTCAATTTGCCATTTTTGTCATATATATTTGTATTTGTGTGTGCAGGTGATGCGTTTTAAAGTTAATACATGGAGGCCAGATTTGCTTTGTATAAAAGTCCCCAGAATTGAGTTATATATATTTTTTAAAACTTTCTGTGGAACTTGTTCAGAGGGATAAATAGTTCATAAATAGCGAAGATGTGACTTATTCAAACTTATTTAAAATAATTGCATATAGTATGTCATCTTAGTATCTATTTCCATTTAGATAGCTAGTTAAAGTCACCATGAAATCAAAATTGACAATACTTATTTTTTTATTGCAGTACATTTAGCTCTTCTCTGATGACGAGGGCGGGACAACCTGTCAGTCACATGAGATCCACCAATCGCAAACCACACCCATCCAATCAAATCCCCCCAGACTAAATCAAGCCCCGCCTACATTTGTTCTTGTTTGTTACTCGGATATACATCACAATAGGGAAGAAAAGGCCATCGCAACTCGGTTTCATGTCAACTTTAGTTACTAATCTGTACTTTGGGAGCTAAATTGCTGGAATAAACATCACTTAACCTATAAGCCTGATATAAACGCATCAGATATGTCCTTATTTAGATGCAACAGCTAAGCGTTTGAGTCTTTTTTAGGGTTAGATGTTGTAATTAAAATTTTTTTTCTTTTTAATTTATTAATAGCAATAGATATGAATGGGAACATGCATGAAGAGGTTAGTGTGACTGGTTTTGGTGCCGACGCTCATCCCAGCACTGCTCCCAGTTTGTCCAGCACCTTCAGGCCTTTCTCCTCGTACTCGGCTCGTGACAGCCAGAAAGACTCTTTATCTTTCATGATGTTGGCCAGCACGGCACCACCCATGAACACCATGTGTTTGCGGCGCGGAGGGTCTTCGATGCGGATTTTAAATTTCTGTGGTAAAAGAGAGAGAAAAATCATTTAAAACTAATTCTAATTTAAAACTAATGAGTTGTTGCCTATCTATTTTAAATACTAAAGGTTACTTTAATGTGTGCCAGTTCCTTTACATGCACTCGCAGAAAAAAAAGGTACAAAAGCTGTCACTGGGGCTGTACCTTTTCAAAAGGTAAACTTTTGTCCATTTCAGGTGCTAATATGTACATTTTAGGTGCTGATATGTACATTTTAGGTACTAATATGTACAGTTTAAGTGTTAATATGTACATTTTAGGTGCTAAAATGTCCATTTCATGAGCTAATATGTCCATTTTAGGTGGTAATATGTACATTTTAGGTGGTAGTATACATTTTAGTTACTAATATGTACATTTCAGGTGCTAATATGTCCATTTCATGAGCTAATATGTACATTTTAGGTGGTAATATATACATGTTAGGTACTAATATGTACATTTTAGGAGGTAATATGTCCATTTCATGAGCTAATATGTACATATTAGGTGGTAATATATACATGTTAGGTACTAATATGTACATTTTAGGTGCTAATATGTCCATTTCATGAGCTATTATGTCCATTTTAGGAGGTAATATGTCCATTTTAGGAGGTAATATGTACATTTTAGGTGGTAATATGTACATTTTAGGTGCTAATATGTCCATTTCATGAGGTAATATGCCCATTTTAGGAATATGTCCATTAATATGTCCATTTTAGGAGGTAATATGTACCATTTTAGCTAATATGTGGTAATATGTACATTTTAGGTGCTAATATGTCCATTTCATGAGGTAATATGCCCATTTTAGGAGGTAATATGTCCATTTCATGAGCTAATATGTACATTTTAGGTGGTAATATGTACATTTTAGGTGGTAATATGTCCATTTCATGAGCTAATATGTACCATTTTAGGAATATGTGTACATTTTAGGTGCTAATATGTACATTTTAGGTGGTAATATGTCCATTTCATGAGCTAATGTGTCCATTTTAGGAGGTAATATGTACATTTTAGGTGTTAATATGTACATTTCAGGTGCTAATAATATGTACATTTTAGGTGCTAATATGTACCACTAAGGTACTGTACCAATATGCAGCCTTTGGGTACAAAAGTGTACCTTTTGAAAAGGTACAGCCCCAGTGACAGCTTTTGTACCTTTTTTTCTGAGAGTGTGTTATTAGCGTCAGTGCTTACAGAGAGTTTGTCAGTGTCTCCCTTCAGCACTCTCTCCAGATACAGCTGCTTGATCTCTCGCTCCAGACGGGACGGCAGCCCCGGGTACATTGTGGTTCCTCCAGACAGGACGATGTGCTTGTAGAAGTCCGACCTGCAGGTGGACGGTAAGACATGAAGCTCACAGACACCCTTGAAGGAACAGTTCAGCTGGAAACCAATCAGAAACAACTGTAGGTGACCTCAGAAGAAATGACTTTAACCTGGAATATTCCTTTAATAAAAGTATCGCTGTGCTGAGTAAAGTCTCTTCAAAAGCTCTTGCACAGCAAAAAACAAACAAATTCGTACTGTTTTTAATATTTAATATTATTTTTTTTATGAAATGATTGTACTATATTTTAGTCTGATCATGTTTTTTATTTAATATTTATTATTTTTAGGAGATTTTATTGTTCTAAATTATATTTACGCTGTATTTATAATCCATTCATTCTCTTTTTTGAGCATAGACCTGAAAATGAAATTTCCAACTTAAACAGTCATAAATCTAAAATGCTTTGGAACACAAACTAAACAAACTATGTCTCTTTTATTTCTTTTTAAACACGTTTTTTTTTTTAAATTATAACATTTTACATTTTTGTTGTTCTGAAAAATGCACAAAAATACCATTTTAAATTAAATTAAACGTTCATTTTCCAAAACACGTTTTACTCTAAAACTGTGAGAAAATCAAACCAATAAATCTAAACAAGTTGTGTTCCAAATTTGAGGTTGATATCTCAGCTTTCAGTAAGAATTTGTTTGGCTCCAGTACCAAACGTGTCCACTAGGTGAAATTAATTTCCAACCACGAACAATACAGACGTGTTCACAAGTGTTGGCAAGTTCCAAAACCTGTACCAAGTTTCATACCAATTTGAAGTAAAAAAATCAACAACAAAAAAAAAAACGTAAAATTTTCCGGCCAAAAACCAGAAGGCTAATCAAGGTACATTTACTTTTTGCACCAAAACACTCGCAATTCAAAGTAGAATTTTAGGCTGTAAATGAACTTAGCATGTTTCTCAAATATTTGCAAATACATTAGACCTATTCTTGTTTTAGTTTGCTTCTCAAGTAAATGTATATTGAATTAAGAATGCTTTGCGATATTTGTACCGGAAAACAAGACGAAAACACTAAGTACAGGTGTTCTTTCTTCAGTGTAGATGGAAATGTAAATCGTGATTCCGGCACGGAATAAAACAGTTTAAAAGATAATTGCACATTTTCATGTCGCAACTCTGACTTTGTAACTCAGAATTGTGAGATGTTAATTTGCAGTAGCGAGATTTAAAGTCCAATTCTGTGAGGAAAAAAGAGAAATCGTTTTTTTTTTTTTAGTTTATATCTCGCACTTCTGACCTTATAACTAGCAGCTACGAGTTTCGCAATTCCGATGTAAACTCTCAATTTTGAGAAATAAAATTTTTTTTTTTTTTTTCCATTTGATTTGTTCTGTGGCAGAAACAAGCTTCCATAAAAACGTCTCCTAACTTGTTAGCTGAAAAACATTTGCAGAACAAATTACTGGCTATAAGATTTGCTCAGCGCTCAGGCATTAAACGTCTCCGAACTGACTGTAGCGTTGAGTTGTTCTGACCTGAGGTCGATGTCCGCCGCCTGGATGGTGTTGAAGAGCAGCTCGGCCACTCCGACTCCCTCCACGTTAATGAGATGGGGCTGGAAAAGAGCCTCCGCTGCTCCGAACCTCTCGCCTCCCACCATTATCATCCGTCCATCTGGCAACTGCGGGCGGGAAAGGTCAGTAAAATCTTTTGTATGCTGTGAGGAAGGCAGTCAAGTTTTAAGTAACGTTACACATCCTCACCCTAGTTTTTTTTAATCTATAATTGTTAATTTTATCTCTTAAAACTCATCTTTGATCACCAAAATGACATATTTAAAAGTTTTTTTCATGCCTTAAAATAACTACTATGTAACTCGACACCCTTTCCTCATTTAGTATATGCGGTTCTATGAGCCTCGCCTCCACTCACCCGTTGATCTGATGGTTACAAGGTAGTAAACGAGGCTTCGTCAATTCATACCGGCTTCGCAAGTTTCTACATTTTAATGGTTGGACAGTTTTATATATTGAAGAATAACTCATTGTAACACAGAGAAGAGTTGATCGTCTTTTATTGGCCACGCCCTTTATAAAATACACAAAACGTTAAATGGTATTTGATGCTTTGTATACGCCATTTGATAGATTAATCTCTCAAGAAAACGTTTTGCAATAACTTTGTAAAAGGTGTTTTTATGAAGCGGTTTTCCCTGCATTTACAGTTTTGAGCGCTTCGAACCAGTGAATCATTTTGCAAAGCAATCGGTTCAATTGATTCAGTGTTTGGAAAAGCTTTGTTTCTCTCGTCACTAGTGGAAAGATACATTGACCTTTAAAAAAATATAAATGCATGCCGTACGCAATATTAAATGGTTGCCAGCTTGTTTTGCCTCTAAAGGTTTAAATGGATACAGTATATAAAAAACGTTGCATAGTTTTGTTAATGCGACCTGTCCATAGGTGTACTTTGTGTGACTAATTTCCGGCTTCAATTTCCTGAGCTGTAAGTGTATTACCGTGTAGGACTCCACCAGGACGGTGGTCTCGTTGGCCAGTTTCTGTTCCTGCTCGATGTTGTATCCGACAAAACACAGTTTCTCCTTCATCATCCGCACCGTCTCGAAGTCTGCCGTGTGGTTGAAGACGTAGCCTCGCATAAGCAAAAGCTGAATAAACAGAATATTCTTTTTAACCAGACCACTACTGATACATTTTATTTATTTTTAAATAATACAGTGAATCTATATCTAGATTTTGATCCATTTTAAGAAATGAGTCCATTAAAATAGACGGTTAAACAAAATGTTCCAGGTTCAATTGAAGTTGAAGTGGTTAGTTCACCCAAAAATGACAGTTATATGAACCGTTTTTAACACTGATATTAATCAGAAGCATCAAATCAACATATCAGAATGATTTCTGAAGGATCATGTGACACACTGGAGTAATTGATCACAGGAATAAATGACAATTTACAATATATTCAAATTGAAAACAGCTATTTAGAACTGTAATAATATTTCACAATATCATGGTTTTTAACTTAAAATATATTTTGAGAAACACCAGTGTCCAAAATAACGTTTAAAAATGAAAGTACAATGAAAGTCAATGGGGTCCAAAGTATAAAAAAAATCAGACAGGTTTCATGAGGGTGAATAAATGATGTCGTTTTTGGAATGAACTAAGTGCTGTTCTGGAACATTGCTCATTCCTCAGTTTCCATGGTGACAATAGAAGGAGAATGTCACCTTAATCAGATAGCGCGTGATGTCGCGTCCTGCGATGTCGAGCCGGCGCGTGAGGTGAGGCAGAGAGAAGCCCTCGTACACGGGACAGATGTGGGTCACGCCGTCTCCTGAGTCGATCACCACACCGGTTAACAAACCTGCCGCAGGAACACAGCGCAAGTCAATCACTCGTTCATCTTCAACACTGGGCCTTAAAGGAACGCTCTGAATTTTTGGGACTATTCACCATATCCCCCAGAGTTACATACCTTTCTAATCCTTCAAACTCGTTCATCAAAATGAACAACTCTTTTTCAGAGTCAATTTGTTCGTTGAATTAACTAAATGACTCGGAAAAAGATTCGTTCATTTTGATGAACGAGTTCGAACAGGAGAGTCACCCACGTGCGTCACAGAACAGAGTAAGGCGAGCATTTGAGCTTATAAAACTTAAACTTTGTTTTTTTTTTTTTTAAACGAGGATCGTTTCGCTTGATAAGACTCTTATTTATCGTCTGGAATCGTTTAAAGCCATTTGAACAGTTTGCAGTTTGCACTGAAAATGAGTTTTGGACCTTGAACCGTTTGGTTCCCATTGAAGTCCATTATATGGAGAAAAATGCTGGAATGTTTTCATCAAAAACCTTCATTTCTTTTCGACTGAAGAAAGAAAGACATGGACATCTTGGATGACATGGGGGTTAGTAAATTATCAGGTAAAGTTTTTTTTAAAGTGAACTACTCCATTAAAGTGTTTCACGTATTTTTCGATAGTTTTAGACTAAAAAAGTTGGACTGTATTGAGTGATGGTTTACATTTAGATTCCAATCGAATTTGCATAAAAATCGGATTTGGACTGACAGTCTGAACCAGGTGCTCTTATAGACCCTTTTACAGTTAGTAAACATGGTGATGTTTTTTTTGTGGGCGGAGCTTAGGTGAAAGCAGAACGATCCCTCTGGCTGCTTCACTAACGCTAGTTAGCAAGGATTGTTAGCTTGTTTTTTTTAACAATGACTGGAGAAAATCCGATATTGTCTTAATGTCTAAGGTCACTCAGTGTCCAGGACCGCGATTGTTATTTCCAAAAGTTATTTTTAACGGACAGAACCAGATTGGCCGACCTGTAGCCCTACACGCTCACTCAATGCATGGATGATCTGACAGGATTAACGTACGTTACCTCGGTTGAGTGGCCTGACTTCTACACCTACCATATAGAGAAACTAAAATAATGTAAACGTAAATAGAAACTGAGGGCATATAAATCTTTCGATGCCTATATGGTCCTGTACAAGACTTGTGTGTACGATCCGCAGTTCTGCCGAGCCAGCGCCGAGACCACGACAATGTAAAGAGTGACATTACAGTGCGATTTTAATGATGTGAATATTTTCTAGAAATAAAAGTTCCAGATACAGCATATTCATTTTTCATCAATTCTTGCACCAAACAACACAACAAGATGACATGTAATAATAGTAACAATAATTTAAGCTCCTTATTATGTAGCCGAATCTGAGCTGTTTTGTATTGGCCGCCTGCAGTTTTCACTTTGTTTTGCCTCCAGCTAGCGCCGTGACGTAACTGTGACGTCGGCGCAAAAGGGGTCTATATGGTTAAAATAAGGCCCGTGACCCCGAGCGTTACCCTGAGCGTAGAGCGTCAGCACGGCCTGGATGGCGATGTAGATGCCGTGGAACTGGTAGGTCTCGAACATGACCTCTGCGATCTTCTGCCGGTTCTTCACCGGGTTCAGGGGCGGCTCCGTCAGCAGGACCTTGCTGTCGGGGGGGCTGATGTCGAGCCGCTGCGGGCCGAACGTGTGGTCCCACAGGTGCAGCATGTCCTCCCAACTGCGCACCATCCCGTTCTCCATGGGGTACGAGATCTCCAGCATGGAGCGGCACTGGCTCGCCTCGTCGCCCACCATCAGGTCCTGAGAGGCAGAGGGGCGACTTCAGTGTTAAACAAGAACAGATTATATCAAAGGAGTAGTTCACCTTTCAAAAAACTTTTGCTGATGATTTACTCGCCCCCATGTCATCCAAGATGTCCATGTCTTTCTTTCTTCAGTCGAAAAGAAATTAAGGTTTTTAATGAAAACTTTCCAGGATTTTTCTCCAAATAATGGACTTCAATGGGAACCAAACGGTTCAAGGTCCAAAAGAAACTTTCAGTACAAACTGCAAACTGTTCAAAGGGCTTTAAACGATTCCAGACGATAAACAAGGGTCTTATAAAGCGAAACAATGGCTCATTTTTCTTTTTTAAAATAACAAAGTTTAAGTTTTATAAGATCAAACGCTCGCCTTGCTCTGTTCTGTAACGCACTCCTGTTCGAACTCGTTCAACAAAATGAACGAATCTTTTTCCGAATCAATTCCTTCGTTTCGTTCGCCGAATGAACCAAATGACTCAGAAAAAGATTTGTTCATTTTGATGAACGAATTCGAACAGGAGAGTCATGAACGGAGCAAGGCGAGCGTTTGAGCTTATAAAACTTAAACTTTGTTATTTATTTTTTAAATGACCGATCGTTTCGCTTGATAAGACCCTTATTCATCGTCTGGAATCGTTTAAAGCCCTTTGAAGCTGCACTGAAACTCTCAATTAGACCTTGAACCGTTTGGACCCCATTGAAGTCCATTATATGGAGAAAATCCTGGAATGTTTTCATCAAAAACCTTAATTTCTTTTCGACTGAAGAAAGAAAGACATGGACATCTTGGTTGACATGGGGGTGAGTAAATTATCAGCAAAAGTTTTTTTAAAAGTGAACTACTCCTTTAAAGTCCCCCTGAGGTCAATCGGTTTAACCCTTAAAAGTCATCTTTGATCACCAACATTTTTTTTTCCTTGAAAAAAAACCTCTCGTTTTAAAATATCTTGAATGTAACTCGACACCCTTGCTTCATTTCATATACACGGTTCTATGAATATGCAAATGAGCCCCGCCTCCACTCACTCGCTCACTCAGAGATCCACTGGTTGACGATCACACGTTGATCTGATTGGTTACAAGGTCGTGTGTGACGTCAGAAACACCAGCGATTTCAAACCGTGTTTGAGACTGTCTTTGGTTCACTGCAGTTTTAAGCAGAAAATACTCAGCAATGCTGTCCACTTATGAATTTACACATGGATTGTCTTAAAGCATATTAAAAACACCACATAGACACACAAACAACATTAAAAGCTGGATTTTAACCACAGGGGGACTAAACGTTTTCTTCAATAAATAGAATTCATCTGTGAATTCTATTAATTCTATATTCTGAGTTTATAGTTTCTGCAGCAAAAGTAATGAACTATCAATCAGCTATCAACATTTATTAAGAATTTAAAGTTTTATGTTATATATTTGGGAATAATAAATCGACATTAGAGTAGAACATTATATTTTTATATGTAATATTATTTATTCATGTTTTATATATATATACTATTAGATAATTTAGAGTAACTGAGGGATAGAATAATTTAAATCATAATTTGAAAATATTAATACATAAATGAGAGATGTTTTATAGATTTCTTGTTAAATGACAGTGCTTGTCAGTGTTATTTTCTTCTTATTTATATACTATTATATTTTTATTCATATTTTTAATTGACCTTTTTTATATTTTAAGTTTAGATTCAAATTGTTAGTTGAAGTTTCAGTTATTTTATATGCTTTTCACATTTGTATTTTATGTTTGTCTTTTAGGTTTATATTTATTTATTTTTTTATTCTTATTCTTATTTTTTATTCTTAACTGTTTTTATTTATTGATTGCATTTACTGAATGAGCACTGTGCCACTGTTCGTCCGACTGTTACTGTACTGTACATTTTATTTTATTTTTGACACTCTATTTTATTTTTATTATTATGATTTTTTTTTTAATTCTAAACTGTTTCAATTATTCTGACTTCTTTTGATTATTTTAATTTCTTCCATGTAAAGCACTTTGAATTGCCACTGTGTATGAAATGTGCTATATAAATAAACTTGCCTTGCCTTATATATATATATGTGTGTGTGTGTGTGCGCATGTGTGTGTGTGTTATTTCAGATTTTGTCTTTTTTGAACATAAATTTATTTCAGCTAGTTGGTAACAAACCATTTCAATAATATTAAGTTTTTCATGTGTGTATATACGTACTGTGTGTGTGTGTAGGTATGTACATATATACAGAAGCTATATTGTGTTTTGTTTTGACTATGAACTCACCTTGATCTCTATATTCCCAACTTTTACATCTGACCGAATGATGGGACGTCCCACCAGGGCTGGGAAGATGTGTTCGGGGAAATTGGAGCCAGCAAAACCACACTTGACAAACTGCAGACAGTGTGAGAGAAGATGACGAGTGAGTAGTGAAACTCGGCTCTGCTTTACATTTCAGGTTCATAAGGACGTATATTTGATGACTGCACTGTATTATCTGAGATGAGCCGTTTTGAAGAACTGCGTCTTCCCCAACTCCCCCTCAACTTCCCTACGTTCATTTCAGGTCACTAAAGCACACCAGAGTTTAAAGCACTTCCTCATTTGTGGCCAATAACCGTGTATCTTTTGCCCTGCCACCTTTTAAGGTGAAGTGTTGTTCCTGGCCAGACGTGTTCAGACAGACTGAAGCAATGCAACAGGTCTCCGCACGAGCGCTAGTCAGGCATGCAGCGCCTGCACACGCAAGCCAAATAAAGCTTCTCAGATCTCTTCTAACTTTAAGTTCAAATCGATTTAAACAGTTTTCAAATCAAAACATCTTCCATGTATCATTCACTTAACCACAAATAGAGTTCTTTCATAAATGTTCAATCAGCAATTGTACATTCATGAAGTGTTCTGGAAATGTCATTCATAACAGGGCTCACCGTGTTATGATGAATGACGTTTACAGACACTTTGTGAATGTCTTACCCCAGTGCCATTGTCACACACGACCACTTTCCTCCCGCCGCTGTCCATGCCGCAGTGTTCCAGATGCTGTGCGCGCACACACACACATACACACACACACACTCGGGCTGTTCTGCTGGAGTGAGGTCAGAAACAAAGGGGCCGGTTCCCCTGAGGAGGAACAGAGGGACTCCGCCTCGTTCACCGAGAGGAGAGCAATCCCTAAAAAATGAGCTACACTACTAAAACATATAATCTAATAATGCAATAATGCAAACATTTTTACAGTAAACAACTGTTCATTGGTGAACTGCAAGTCACCTTATATCAGTTCAATTTTAAAAGGAAATACATGCTATTTAAAAAATGTAAAATGTTGTGAAATTTGATGCATAAAAATAATTTCTTACCTTACAATTGAGAATATATGAAGAGTTCAGATGCAAAAGCCTCTAAATGCCATTTGAAATTTTCTTCTTTAATGATGATTTTTATCAAACTTGTATATTTAAGTTCAGTAATTTCACTTAAATAACAATTAATAGGTAATTATCATTGCCATTTAAGTGAAATCACTGAACTTAAATATACAAGCTTGATAAAAATGATCATTCTAGAAGAAAATTTCAAATGGCACTTAGAGGCTTTTGCATCTGAACTCTTCAAATATATCATATTTAATAAAGCAGTAATCGCCTACGTATAATTGTGTAGTAAAAGTGGATTTCCAAAGGCAGTGATGCTGCTACTGATGTCAAAATTATTATGTTCATTTCAGTTTTAAACATTATAGCCATTCAACCTTACAGTAGGCTATAATTGAAAGCTATCAATTTTTTAAGCTTAAAAAAAAAAAACGATCCTTAAAACAACCCTCACATAACCTGATAATAAATGTCATATTCACCCGTTCCCGTTCTGTGACATTTAGGAAATATAACTGAGTTATCAAACAGTCTGCACTGCATAAATTATGAATTAAATTGAAGCGACAAAAGTTCTTTAGTCAAGCGCAGGCAGTCGTTCTCTCTTTGTTTAATATTGATGACAGAGAAAACTCTTTATGTTAATGCTCTTACGAGGATACTCCACAAAATGGACAAAAAATGTGTTAAAAAAAATTAACCATCAGAAACTCTAAATTATATGTTATCTGAACTAAATAAATTATTTAAGTTGATTTGACAAAAGAAAAAAATGTTGTGATTACTACACTGTAAAAAAAATATTGTTGGTTTAACTTAAAAAAGTAAGTAACCTGGTTGCCTTAATTTTAAGTTCATTGAACTGGAAAAAGTGAGTTAATACAGTGAAGTAGATTCATTTAACCATCAGAAACTCTAAATTATATGTTATCTGAACTAAATAAATTATTAAAGTTGATTTGACAAAAGAAAAAATGTTGTGATTACTACACTGTAAAAAAAATATTGTTGGTTTAACTTAAAAAAGTAAGTAACCTGGTTGCCTTAAAATTTTAAGTTGATTGAACTGGAAAAAGTGAGTTAATACAATGAAGTAGATTCATTTAACCATCAGAAACTCAAAATAATAAGTTATCTCAACTAAATAAATTATTATAAAGTTGATTTGACAAAAGAAAATATGTTGTGATAACAAATCTTGAAAATATTTTTTACAGTGTAATATAGTTACTCCCCGAAAATATTAGATTTAATGGAATAATGCAAAAAATGTACAGCACAGTAATTGATTGACTTCTGAATTAGTTTCTGGTTCGAACATATCTGAATTAAACCAATACGTCTACTTATCGTGTAGCTAGTGTTTACTACCGTGGATCTGGTTATTTGGGCTGCAGTGATTGGTGGAGACGGGGCTCATTTGCATATTTATGAAGCAAGGCTGTCGAGTGACATTCAAGCTATATATTTTAAGGCAGGAAGACATTATTTTCACAGGAAAAAAATATATAATTTTGAAAATATTTCAAATATGTAATTTTGATCATCAAAGATGAGTTTAAGTGACATAATTATTGACTGCAGGGGGACTTTAAATTACTGTTGAAAATGAGGTATTAAAAGAATGATTCATAGTTTAGCCTTTTTAACAAACGAATACAGTAAAATGTATGCAATGACTGCAATGTCAATCTACTGATGACATGAGAGTCAATAAATGATGACATTTTCTTTTATTGTTAAATGACTTCCTGAAATGGCGATTGAGGTTTTGTAAAGCCATGTTATTATTTCGACAATGGCTCATTTAGTTGATGTCAGTGAGGAGGGCACAGTGAGCTCTTTGCTTCAAAAATAATTTCTTTTATTTCAAAATTGCAAACAACAGACAAATGAAAACAAAACAATCCCGCTCTTGTATCATCGGTGAGTATGGGTGTCAAAACGAAAAACAGCGGACGATCATACAGTCTGACGTCGTCCTCAAAGTGTAGGCACATACAGTAAGATGACTTCAGACCGAGACGAGTGATGCCATTGGTTGAAAGGGAAGCGAAAACCTCGCAGGTTTGGAGGCGCAGAAATCATAGCATATTTCAAGTTCAGCAGCATTAATATTCCATCACATGTCAGTTAATCGATGCTCATTCAGACTACACTCTTAGAAAAAAAGGTTCAATACCCAGAATGCAACAGGCTGTCTGGGATTCTACATCGGACTCAATTTTAAAGAACACTAAATGCCAAAAGGTTATATATATATATGTGGAGAAATGCATTAAATGATTGCATAATACTTCTATGTCTAATGGGTTATCCAAATGTTTTTCTAGTGATAAAGTACGTTTTCAAGCTGTTTAATTCATAACATTTAATTAAAATTAAAAAAAGATGAAAAGAAAATGAATGATCCCATATTCAAACCCCTAAAAGGTTCAATATACACAGGTGAAACTTGAAACATTAAGTTATAATTTTACAGCTTATGAAAACCCCAAATTCATGATCTGAGAAAATTTGAATATTACATGAAATCAGTAAAAAAAAAAAAAATTAAATACAGAAATGTTCGGCGCTCAATATATATAAAAATATAATCATCCATCCATCCATATTTGTTTCAGAATTTGAATTACTGAAATAATGAACTGTTGCACCACATTCTAATTTTCCGAGTTCCACCTGTATAGAACACCCAACAGAACCCTCGTTTAAGGTTCCGAATAGAACCTTTTCTTCTAAGAGTGACATCGTTATATTCCGGTGTGAACAAAAAAACAACGCAATGTAACTCTACGTATGAATCTATTGAAAACACACAGCAGCAAGTATCTCTACCCTCCGGTTCTCAATGGACATGCAAGATCAGACCGTTTCTCTTTCCCGGGTTCGACAGACGTGTGTAGTGCTACGAAAGGCCTAGGCTAGACTTCATGTACAAAATTTGCATAATAGTTCCCGTGTTTGATACGTCTCATATTTTGTGCCACCTGAGTGTTCGTTTTTGAATGGTTGACAAAGCCAATGATCCCGAAGAGATTTATTTGGCACATGCCTTTTAAGAGGCCTTTGAAAGTCTTTTTTGAGTGTGTGTGTGTCAAATCTGGAAGTCCATTCACAAGCTGATTTCTCAGTCTTTCTTTAAGTGCATCTATACGCTTTGACGGGGTCCAGACGAGGCGTTCCTCACGACTCGAACTCGCTGTCGCTGCTGACGGAGATGTCGGGCGTGGAGGCCCCGGTCCCCCTCGGCCCCGTGCCCGAGCTGCAGTCGCTGTTCTCCGGGCTCCCGGGACGCCGCGGGGACGAGCCCTGGAGGAGCGTGTTGTGCTCCGAGGAGGAACATTCGGGAGAGCTGCCGGAGGGGAGGAGGGAGGAATCCTGCTGTAGTCTGGGAGAAAAACAACAGAAGAATGTTAACTGCTGTGTGTCAGTTTGTGTCCCTGTTAAACGATTAGTTCACTTTTGAAAAAACTTTTGCTGATAATTTACTCACCCCCATGTCATCCAAGATGTCCATGTCTTTCTTTCCTCAGTCGAAAAGAAATTAAGGTTTTTGATGAAAACATTCCAGGATTTTTCTCCATATAATGGACTTCAATGGGAACCAGACGGTTCAAGGTCCAAAAGACAGTTAATAACAGTTTCAGATGCAGCTTCAAATGTCTTTAAACGACACCAGACGATGAATAAGGGTCTTATCATGCGAAACGATCGGTTATTTCAAAACTTATTCTAAAAATGTAACTTTTCTAAGGACAAATGCTAGCCTTGCTCTATTCTGTGAGGCGCGTTTGTAACGTCACGTATTACGTAATTACGTTCAAAAGGTCACGGGCGACGTAGCCGAAAGTACAGAATTAAAATCGTCCGACATCGTTGTTTTACCTTTTAATTCCTTTTTTGTAAACGGCGTTTGAGTTAGTTTGCACCTTCAACCTATGCGTTCAACTTGTAAACACTGACTCTGTACTTCCGGCTACGTCGCCCGTGACCTTTTGAACGTAATTACGTAATACGTGACGTTACAAACGCGCCTCACAGAATAGAGTACGGCTAGCATTTGTCCTTAGAAAAGTTACATTTTTGGAATAAGTTTTGAAAAAAACGATCGTTTCGCATGATAAGACCCTTATTCATCATCTGGTGTCGTTTAAAGACATTTGAAGCTGCATCTGAAACTGTTATTAACTGTCTTTTGGACCTTGGACCGTCTGGTTCCCATTGAAGTCCATTATATGGAGAAAAATCCTGGAATGTTTTCATCAAAAACCTTAATTTCTTTTCGACTGAGGAAAGAAAGACGTGGACATCTTGGATGACATGGGGGTGAGTAAATTATCAGCAAAAGTTTTTTCAAAAGTGAACTAATCCTTTAAGGCCATTGCACACTGAGTCCGAAATTCGCATCCAAAATTTCCGCACGTTAAAAAAAAAAAAAAATCGACCTCACGTTATGTCAATCATGCTTGCACACCGCCTCCGAAACTTTCGTCCGTCATAAAAAAATTCGGATCGGGTTCAATTTTCTGCGTTTTTCGCATCCACAGCCAACATTTTGAGAGGTTTTCTCGACAATTCAGGGCCGGGGGAGCTCGTTTACTGTCTATAGAGCTCGTTCCGCACATCATTGCACATATGCGCAGTGCTCTCAGTTTCAGTTTTCAATTTGATCAAGTGTTTATGTTCTCTTCTCTCGATTGGATTATTAAAGGAATAACCTCCCCTTTCAATCAGATTGAAATTTCGGATCGATGAATGTGTGATTGAGCAGCCAATTCGATAACTATAGGCTAATGTATTATTTGGGTACAATAACCTGTAGCCTATACAGCTGTTCTGTCTGCCCAGTGCTTCCACTGGCGCGTCCGTGCGTGCGTACAGTGTCTCCATACCTTAGACATACTGCCAGTCTCTGTTCAGAATCGATTGGTTCACGGAAATTGGTGGTCTTGTTTTTAATATGTGGCTCTAGAATCGCAAGCAAAGCATCCAACTGATGTAGATCTACGTTTTGCTTCATTTCGCGCTGACATTTGACGTTGTGTACAGACACGCGGAATCACTCGGACGTTAATGGCGTAGACCATAGACTGTAAAAAAAGATGGACGACGCCCCTTCGCTCTTTTCCATCAGAGAGAACTGAAGCCGCCAGTGTCCCGATATGACGCTGACATCTTGGACTTGAGTCTGCGCGCTTGCGTGTTTCGGGGTCATGCGCAGTCGTGAGCAGGAAGTAAAGCCGCGAAATCAAGGCCACGCCCTCATTCTCGCTGAATCAAACGCAAGCACATGCCCCGCACTTTCATTAAGTGTCCTTTGTCTGCTTCGTTCTCCTCCAATGATGTCTGCTGATTGCAGAACCTCGTTAAAATAAGGTAAATACAACTACTAACCACATAATCAACACAGCTAATCACAGCTGTCAATCATGATGTCAGAGCACCGTTATTTTATCATCACATAACTAACTAAAAACAAACTTATTTTAAAAACGAACACTTGAAATTACATCAACGTGATAGAAACTACAGTAAATGACAGAAACTATCTTCGGAAAAAGGATATGTGAAGTGTAATTTAATTGTTTAGTTGGTCTCGCGTCCCATTGAATAACATGGGGAGGCGGGGGTTATGAGCTATACTAGGACCGGCCACAGGGGGGCGATCGAGACGTTTTGGCTTCACTTTTGAGGGCTTGTGCGGCACGCTTGGCGTAGACATACACGCGGATAGCTCAAAATGCGTAGAGATAACACGCCACTTGACTCGAAAGTGGCGTGTATGTTTACGCAAAAGTCATGATGTCATGTTGGGATTATGGACGTAATATTTTCTCTTTCTTCTCTTTTCAATTAGAGAGAGGACAACAAAATCATCCTCACATCCTCACTGCATCCTCAGTGCAAGGTTTCTGTGCGTGACGAATTTTTAGGCTGACGAACACGAAAAAACGCATACGAAAATTTCGTACTCAGTGTGCAATGGCCTTAACACTTTGTGTTAGTTTGTGTACCTGTTTTTAGCAGATGCCGCTCTGTCCCGCTGTCTTCTGTTCTTGAACCAGTTGCCCACCTGTGTGGGGGTGAGCCCGGTGGCCTGAGCCAGGTGACGCTTTCTGGAGGGGTTTGGATAGGGATCCTGCAGGTACCATTCCCTGAGGAGGCTGCGGGTTCGTTCCTGGAAAACAGAATCAAGACCAATGTTACTCAGTCCAAAAAGATACATTTTCTTGCTAACTTCACAGTAGTTCAGGGTCAGTACAATTTTTAATGTTTTTGCTCACCAAGGCTGCATTTATTTGATCAAGAATACAGTAAATTGTGTAATAGTATTACTATTTTAAATAACAGTTTTCAACGTGAATATATATATAGTAAAGTGTAATTTATTCCTTTGATCAAAGCTGTATCTTAATAGTCACATGATCCTTCAGAAATCTGATTTGCTGCTCACGAAACAAATTTCTGATTATTATTATTATGACCTATGTTGAAAACATTAAAACATTTCAGGAATCTCTGATGATTAAAAAGCATTTATTTGAAACAGAAAACTTTAGTTACAACACAAATGTCTTTACCGTCACTTTCGACCAGTTTAATGCATCTTTAACTAAACAAAAGTTTTTTTTTTTAACCCAAACTTTTGAATCGTAGTGCATGCATACGTTGAATCATAAAATCCTAAATGCAAATTTTATTCAGATTCACATTTCCAAGAAACACTGAACTATAAATCACCTCTCTGGCCAACCTTGTGAGTTTCACTGGAGTCCTTAAAAAGGCTCAGGAAGGATAATAGCATTATATCTTATTATAGCACATTAAAGTCCCCCAGTGGTGAAAATCAAGCTTTTAATGTTGTTTTATATGTCTACTTGGCGTTTTTAAAATGCTTTAAGACAAACCACGTGTAAATTCATAAGTCGTTTGCGGAGTATTTTCTCCTTAAAACTGCAGTGAACCAAAGACAGTCTCAAAATTGTGAGTGAGTGAGTGGAGGCGGGGCTCATTTGCATATTCATTGAACCCTGTATACTAAATGCGGCAAGGGTGTCGAGTTACATTCAAGCTATTTTAAGGCATGAAGACAAAACGCTTATATGTGTCATTTTGGTGCTCAAAGATGAGTTTTAAGGGATAAAATGATTGACTGGGATGCATTTATAGACCATTTCACAAGATGTAAACAAGACTGGTCCAGAAGCACTTCCTGTTTCAGTTTGTAACCGTTTTCTTTATTTCACATGTAAAGAAAATATCTTAAAGATGTTTGTTTAACTTTTTGATTCAGTTTTATATGTTCTGTTGGTTGTATTTTATCCCAGCTTTTATGTAGTGTTAAAAAACTGAAACAGGAAGTGCTTCTGGACCAGTGTTGTTTACATCTTGTGAAATGGTCTATAGATCGCATTTTTATTCGTCTGCTAATGAGGATCAATCCTGCAGCTCGTTTCACAAAAAAACATTCAAGTCACAAATCAAACCCACTGCTTATAGTGTTGATTCATTGCAATTAGCTACGCTACATGCATTTGTTGTAGAGTTTTCCATTATAATGTCCTTGGAAATCCGAGCTAAGAAGGGCAGAAGTTGGCATTAGGCTTAAAGCACTGCTCCTGGATCAGGGCTTCTGAAGTCAATCCTGGTTTGCGTGTTAAAAAGAGCTAGCCATCAGATCTCATTTACAGTCTGCTGGAGTAATCTGTCGACTGGCCAGTGATTAAGGTTCATTTCCTTGCGGTAAAACTACTGACCACCTTTGTAAAGTGACCCAGCACCCGAGCCGCCAACGCTGCACGTATTAAAATCCACTTTCCATTGCAATTCACATTCGCTCAGTCTCCAAAAACAATGAGGGACTCGTTATGAGAGCTTTGTTGAGCTGTTGGTTAATCTGAGCACTAGTGTCTGGGACAGGGTGAAAAGGTAGAAAGTCGTCTGTGCGGAAGGAGAGCTTAAATGCCACAGGTGGTCCTCGGCTCAAGAGGCTTAAAACAAGCTGCGCACAGACTGACAGCGATGTCTCAATGCGATGTGCGCTGTCCTGACGCGTGGAGACGCTCGGCATGAGATCATAGGTGCAGGAGCTTAAAGATGTGTTTACATTGTCGCGGTGTAATTACTGTAAGTCGCTGTTTGTTTGCACTTTTACTCGAACTGAAAATGCAGTTGTGACCCAAAGATCTGGTTTCAGACCCTTCAAATGACATTGTTGTTACTTAATGTAGTTAAGTTGATTCATTAAAAATTAATTACATGGGACATAATGGGAGCACTTTATTTTAGAGTCCTGTTCCCCATGCACATAATATGTGCTTGTTAATTGCAATAACTGAACCCATTATATTAACAGTACTTTCTTAGGTAAGTACACTGTAAGTGCACATACTGTAAAATTAATTATATTTTTGACTTGCATTAACCAGTTCATCTACAATGTTACAACAAGAACCACAGTTTTCAACAAATCCTGCTGTTTTAGGCTTTGATTAATGCATTCTAATTAAGATTGAAATTTTAATAATTACATGAGGATAAATTAGTGTTTTATATGTATGCATGCATGCATGTGTGTGTGTGTATGGATTTAGTCTACTGATAATATGCATTTTCAGTGTTTGATAGTGAGAGAAGGGTGGCATATTTGCCATATTTACACAAAATTCACTATATTACAAAAGTTATTATATTCATAGAAAGTCATATTTGAAAACAAATTGTGCATTATTCACTAACTAGGTTGTCTGAACTTACTAAATTATTATAGTATCGCTTGATTCTTTTAGTCAAATGTTCGACACACTTTACTGAATTTGTTTATGATCTTGTTTGTTGTAAAAATGATCCTTCAAATGTAGAGTCCATGCTTGAGTTTTGTAGACATATTTTGTGCTTCTAAACTGACATTTTCTTGAATACTTTGAAGCACAGACTTGAAGTGTGGTTCCTTTTTAAAAGGAGACACTTGGTAGATTATTGTAAAAGTGAAAAACAATATGAAAGTTAAATAAATAAATAATTCCATAATTGTTATACTGTTTATGAAGTAGACATCCTATTCAGTGAAGTTTGGCAGTAATCGATTTGAATTCAACCTTTAACAAAGCAGTTAAGGGGTTAAAATATATGGCCACTACATAACTCTCATCTTTCTATCTGTGTCATTTCAAGGTTTTCATACAAATATTATTGTGCCAAGGCGCATGAGTGTGTGTGTCACTCCAGATTCTTACTATCCTTCCTTCATAGCTTCAATAGCGGTGAAAGGGAGGCTAAATAAATTTTATATATATATATATATATATATATATATATATATATATATATATATATATATATATATTATTTTGTGTGTGTGTGTGTGTGTGTTCCCATTTGCTCTAATAGAAAAGAAAAAAAGAAAAACGCCACAGTAGTGTCTCCACGACAAACAATAGATGAAAGATGTCAACTACATCACTTAAACAACAGCGTTTTAACCATAACCATTTTTTTACTAATTGGATGCAAATGTAGACTAATATAATACTAAATTTAGTGTTATAAATGTACATACATAAAAAATGATGACCGTTAAAACACGTCAGTTAATACTTTATTATTATTAATTAGGGTACTAAGTATAGTATTATAAATGTAAATATTTATTAATATATTTTAAAAAAAACTTTGCAGGATTTACGATGCTGATGACCGTTAAACACGTCATCACAGTCTGTGGGGGGAAAAAAAACTCACCTTCTTTACTGAATAAAAGTAACGTTAATTTCTTTAACCCAAACTTTTGAACGGTATGTAGGCCTATACGTTGAATCAGAAATTCATCTGTCATTTTTTTTTTTTAGCTAATATAATTTGTGATTCCATTTGCTTAAATATCAAAAGAAAAACTTTCACAACTCTCAAAAAGAGTAATTTGCAGCTGCTGGGTCAAAGAGCAGCGTTAACTTTTCTTGTTTTGTGTGAGTGTGTGTGTGTAATTGAATGCAAACTAATAACATGTTAGTGTTATAAACGTACACACATCTAAAAAAAAATGTAAATATAAAAAACTCTGCAGGATATTCGAAGTCGATGACCGTTAAAACACGTCATCATCACAGTCTTTTGAAAAAGACTCTCACCTTAAAGCAGTGCGTCTTCTGCTCGCCATCCCAGATGGTTCGAGGAAGGGGAAACTTCTTCCGGATTCGGTACTTCTCCACCGGGCCCAGCGGTCTCCCCCGCAGCCGTTCCGCCTCGCGGTAATGCGCGTCCAGCCACAGGTCCTGCAGCTTCGCGTGGGACTCGCGCGTGAACCGGTGACTCTGCAGGATCTGATAGAGAGCCTCGAAATTCCCGCCGTGGAAAGCCACGAGCGCGCGCGCGCGCATCACCGACTCGTGACGGTTGAGAAGTTCCCCGGTCGAACCGGGCACGGCGGCGGGCAGAGACCAGAGGAAGCGGCCCAAGCGCTCGATATCTCCAGTCTCCTCCAGATTCTCGCAGACTCGCGCCACCTGCTCGGCCGTGAACATCGGCAGAGGAAACATGACTAGGTTTGTCTGTCAGGGATTGTGATTTAAAAGTTTGCGCGCCTCCTTATATCACGATTTCGCTTTGCATCTTTCTCTGATTCAGTTCAAGTAACGCGATATAACACTCTGAGTGACTCGAGGAGACACCTGTTATGTAATGTAGCTCTAGACAGACTGATTTCTCGGTAGGATCTGCGTGAACTCGCGGAACACCGGCGTTCTCGGTGCCGCTTCTAGTAAAGGAGGAGCAGCAGAAGTCAAGCCTATTTATAGAGATTCAATTAGCATCTTTGTGCTTGTTTTGAGGAGGATTATACGCCTCGGTCATTAGCCACTTAGCGGGGGGTTGCTGTTCGAGGAGAGACTGATCAGGTTGTTAGACTAACTAACTGTCACGACAGCGACTTTATTTCATTCTGCGGGATAAATACAGGAAGATCGAGTCATGATGCTGTCAGTGAAAACAGTCGTGGTGTAGGCTAATGCACATGAGAGAGTTCTGCCAAGTGATGCGAGTTTGAAGTTATACATGTATATTAACAAGGCAGGCTACTAGTAAAAATGGATGAAATGTCATCAAGATGGAGGTTAAGAAATGCAACATCGAAATTTCATATTGATATAAACTCACTCTTATGCTAGATGAAATTATTATGTAGAATACAGAAATACATTCATTTCACATTGCATATTCACAGATTCAAATCGCGACTTAAAAATGTCTGCTGGTATAAAAATATGATGGCATTGTAATGATTTAATATTTAAATCTATCTATCATCTATCTATCTATCTATCTATCTATCTATCTATCTATCTATCTATCTATCTATCTATCTATCTATCTATCTATCTATCTTATCTGTGTCCGTCCATTAATCATCTGTCTCTCTGTATATCATCTACTATCTATGATTTTGGGTAGACTAAAATAGTCGCTTACATATGACGATGTTAAAATAAGAATATTAACAATTTAAATGAATAAAAAATCTAAAAAGTAAAATTATATTAATCAATATGTCGCTAGTAGTAATATTTGATCTATCTATTGTTTGTAATCCCCCAAAACCTGCTGTGGAAATTTAGTAGAAACTTAATTTGACAATCAAAACAGTAGCTAATAAAAAAGTATAATAGTAGCCTACACCAAAACTGGAGTGTCTACACTTCACTGATAGCAGATTTTCTCACTTTCCTTAGTTGAGTCAGTTTGACACAAATTTTGTCTGCATTTGTCCGTTCCGAATCTCTTTGAGTCGTTGATCGGGCGCTCATGTTGTCAAAAGGTAAATGGAGCAAAGGGCTCCAGTGTTGTTGTGCCGTTTAATTGGGATTGGATCTGAACGAGGCGCTTAGGCCATGGAAATCACTATCACACGCCTGTCCGAGGAGACGTTTTGAGATGCATGTTGCCTAAATCGCTTCAGAATCCACCACAATCCCGACTGACTAATACCTCCTTAATTAATCTGGACACGTTTATACCAGATCCTCTGTGACCCTGGAGCAGGTCTGAGCGCCTGATGCCCCACACTGTATACAATAATATCCCCTCTCTCCATTCAATCCTTGAGATCTTCTGGACATTAATCAGTCCTCCAGGAGACCATTTTACTATTAATCCGCTTTAAAATAAGCATCTGTCAACAAACTGGTTAAACAAATGGGTAATTACCCTTATTTTTGAAATGTGCCTGGCTGCTGGCTAATTATAGAGTTATAAACGTGTTGTTCTTAAAAATAAAAGTGTGACAAGTATATATATATATATATATATATATTAGGGCTGTGCAAAGATTAAGTGCGATTAATCGCATCCAAAATAAAAGTGTTTACGTAATATATTTGTGTGTGCTGTGTATAATTATTTTGTATATATGAAATACACACACATGTATGTATATATTTAAAAAATGTGTTATTCATATATAAAATATTTATATATAATATAAATTATGTATTTATATATAAATATACAGTATTTACATGTAAATAATTAAAAAATATATACATGCATGCATATGTATTTATATATACAAAATAATTATACACAGCACACAAACATATATTATGTAAACACAAACTTTTATTTTGGATGCGATTAATCGCAGTTAATCTTTGCACAGCCCTAATACACATACATGTACACAAACAAATATACACATACTTTAAAAGTTAATATATTCAAAAAAAAGTTAGATTTTAGTGGACATATTGTATTAAAAACACTTGTTATCGTCATAACTTCCCCTCTCCCACCTATTAAAATGGTGTACATTTTTTATAAATTATAATAGAAAAAATCTCTTATTATGTAATTCTGATGTGAACTCTTCAAGGACCGATGAATGTCCGGTTTTATTTGATGCCTTTATCATATATTTTGTTTTCCAGTCAACATATCTTAAAGGGTTAGTTCACCCAAAAATGAAAATTAAGTCATTAATTACTCACCCCCATGCTGTACCAACCCCGTAAGACCTTCGTTCGTCTTCGGAACACAAATGAAGATATTTTTGATTAAATTTGAGAGCTGTATAACTACCACATTGGCTCCTAAGGGACTGCCTCTTGACGGCCCAGAAAGTCAATGAAGAAAATGTTTAAATATCCCAAGTGACTACCGTGGCTCAACTATATGTTTATCAAGCGACGCGAATACTTTTTGTGCGAAAAAACAAACAAAAATAACGAGTTTATTCGACTATTTCTTTTCTTCCTTGTAGGCCAGAACGAGAATTCCTTAGATTTCCACGACGCATGCGCGAGATTTGCGATCTGCTTACACCAGATTAGATCGCAATTCTCGCGCATGCGTCGTGGAAATCTATAAGGAAGTCTCGTTCTGGCCTACAAGGAAGAAAAGAAATAGTCGAATAAACTCGTTATTTTTGTTTGTTTTTTCGCACAAAAAGTATTCGCGTCGCTTGATAAACATATAGTTGAGCCACGGTAGTCACTTGGGATATTTAAACATTTTCTTCATTGACTTTCTGGGCCGTCAAGAGGCAGTCCCTTAGGAGCCAATGTGGTAGTTATACAGCTCTCAAATTTAATCAAAAATATCTTCATTTGTGTTCCGAAGACGAACGAAGGTCTTACGGGGTTGGTACAGCATGGGGGTGAGTAATTAATGACTTAATTTTCATTTTTGGGTGAACTAACCCTTTAACATTCTTTGTCTGATGAAATGTTTAACATCTTAAATAATAAAACAAATAATGGAAAAGGCACTGGTTTCGTTGGAACGGCCCTTTTGCATTATTAAATTTCATAATCATAATTGTTTTTGAAGAACTTGCAGTATGACATCAGACTACAAATCTTTTTGTTGTTTTCTAAACATTCTGTGTTGAAAACAAAAACCAAATCTTGTGTTACGGACGAAGTCACTGCATTTTTAAGAGTCAGCTTTTGTCAAATCTTCATATGGCTTAAAACGAGTCCTCTTAAATGTTCTCTCAGGGCAAATGATGTTAAATCTTCATACAGACTGTTTAATAAAGGTTGCAGTCAGGTGAAGGTCAAGATTTAGAGGGATTTATCTGAGGACTAAATGATCTGTCTAGATCTGCATTGATCTGTCATTGGGGAGGGTCTATTCTATTTAGTCCTTTCTGAAAGTTATGAGTGTTTGTTGTCAAAAACAAAAGCCTTTGTGATGCCTTTCAGACATCCATTAAAATCTGTTACCTGTACTAAATCAGGTACAGCTAATACACATTTACAAGACTAATATTATGGGTTCCCTTAATTAATAATAATTTAATGATAAAACTCTAAAAGTCCTGTTATTATTACTACAAAGTAACACTATTATTATATTGCATTTTCAACAGTTAAACTGCAGTAAAAACACCAACTGTTTTTTTAAATAAAAATATTAAATATATATATATATATATAACATTTTTAACATGATGGGTATTTTTAATTGGGTTATTTTTATTTTTTTGTGCTTGGTAGTTTTTCTGTAACTGAGCTGCTGGGTCATTTTTACGGTCTATACAAATGGCAAACCTCCTCATATGCCTATCCAGTGCTGGGTCAATGTAGCCCAATATTGGGTAGTCTGTGCCAAACCGGTTAAAACTGGACATCTGTCAGCGGTCATTTTGTTTCCTGTTCTGAGAGAAAACGTCCTGAGGGGAAACTTCCTGAATGAAATTAAGGTTTGTATTACATTGTATTCCTATTAATTTATTACAGTACAAATAGACAATTGTCTGCAGTCTCACATTTGACCTTTTTTGTTTGCATGTATGTCAAGTTCCATGGGAAACAAATGCGCGACCAGGAACGAAACACGACGTAAGATCGCTGTCATGTGATAAAGGTATAGTTGGAGTGCTGCATGTTGGTCGCGCTATTCGTTTGATGGGTTGAAAATTAATTGTCTGTTAGACGAGATGGCACGAGGTAAAGCTGTTTTTGATGTAGCCTGATTATATACAAGATTGTTATTTAATGAGTTGAAACAGCCTCCTGATGCTAGTTTTCTCTCTACAGATTCCCATTGATCGACTGCTCCTGTCATGTCCTACGTTTATTAAACGTGAGTATTTTACGATATATCCTATATATAACAGATTTTTAAAGTGCATTTTCTTAATTTTGAAAAACCTTCAACAGGTTGACTGACCCAGCACTATGTCAAAACAACCCAGCAAATGGGTTAATGTATAAAACCCAACAAGCTTAAAATAACTCAGCATATGTTCTGTCCAATATTTACCCTGCACTGGGTTGCCAAATAACTCAGAAATGGTTGTTTTAACACAGTATATATTTATTTATGTTTAATTAAAAACATTGAAGTGATTAAATTAACAGCAAAAAACAGAACGGGAGAAATTAGCTCAGCGAAGATCATTTTCTCTATTAATCTGACTCTCAGACACAGATCTCGATCTCTCTCTCTCTCACACACACACACACACTGTATATATACACACAGCGTGCAAACAGGTCCAAGCCATTTTAACACTTTGAGAACAGACTGACTCCAAATCTGCTTAACCCTTCCCAAGCTTCTACAAGAGGATGAATCATAAGATGAAGATCGGATGAGTGTGTGTGTGTGTGTGTGTGTGTGTGTGTGGAAGTAAAATAATGCCAAATGTTTTTGAAACAAAAAAGCCTGTTGAATTGCACTATTTGAAAAAAATATACATTTTACTAACTATGCTTTTATTTCGTTTCGCAAATTTGCTAATTTTGCAAGTTCTATGAACCTTCCATGTTTAATCTAATGCAGTACATAGGCATACACACACACACATATATATATATATATAGATATAGAGAGAGAAAGAGTAAAAGAAAGTTTTAGTATTAATTGGTCAAGTGTTGAGTTTATGCAAGTTTATCACTGGGAAATGCTCAGCATGAAACTTTGCGCGTTAAGTTCATATTCTGTGTCTGCTGCATATGTGATGCGATCTGGGAAAACCCACCATATGGTGAAATTTGACATATTACAGTTTTGAGACTATATTAAAGCTGGGTTCAAGCCCTTTCTAATTCTGTTTTTATTTCTTTAATAGTTTGTCTGTAACAAAAGTTATGGTTATCTGAATTCGGCTGATCGCTGTGATTTTTCAGAAATGGAATTTTGAGAAAAAAACGGTTTAATTAATTAACGGTCGCATCCTGCTAGCGGGATGACTGGCGCTCCTTTTTTATTGCCTTTTTTTCATATCACATTTTTTTAGTAATCATCATAGATTATAGTCTGGGTTTCCCCATACTGCCTTACCGCAGCTCGATTCAATTCACGCTGAAAGGCAGTCTGGATACCATGGTCTGATTTTTCGCCTCATTTAGGGAACCAATCACAGAACGGGGAAGGAGCAGCAAGACGATGACCCTCACACCGACGCAGTTTGTTTATTTCTATGGATACAACATGGCAGCAGACGCGAAGCTACCTTTTGATGCAGCATTAGATATTGTTTTAAGTAGTTTAGAATGAAAGTTTATTTTGAAAAAAGAGCCGTTTTTGGCGTTAAACTTCGCAAGACCCCAGTCGTTATTGTTGTCTCGCCATTAATCGCCCTAATGGAGGACCAGTTCAGGAGGTGGTCAACCTTGGAATATCTGCCGCTCAGCTGTGTCCCGAGAAAGAAAATGCGATAAAGAATTGTCGATACCAACTTCTGTTCGGCAGTCTTGAGGCCTGGATGAGCGCAAAGTCGCAAGACATGTTAGCTACGGAGTTGTATAGTACCTGCTAGGCATCGTCGTCGACAAAGTCCTTTAACTTATAAATGGTAAGTGATATTTATTAATATCATATTGTCATTATGACTGTAGACTACCTACTGTGGTTGTCACAGTGCCACTAAGTTGTGTTGCTTTTCAATATCAATATACAGCTACCGCTTTTGTAGCATAACTTTCAGCTGTGCACACGTACCCAATTAAAGTTGTTGACTTTAGTCATTAAATTAAATTTTTTTTTTTACTTGTGAAGTACAAGCACAAACAATTTCCAATGCAAAGAACAACTTCAACTTCTATGTTAAACTGTACTTAATAATACTTGTGTTTTTCTAATTGAAACGATTGGCTAGCTACGTACAGGCGCATTTGAAAGACATTCTTAGCACCCAATAAATGGCGCCGGGCATTCGTAAACCACGCCTCAAATACGAGAATTTGTGCATGTGGTTCCCAGACCCAAGTCTCAACGAGAATTGGGTCTGGCGTTAGCCAGGCTACATAGATTAGGTATCATTTGAAAGCTTACGAACTCAAAATTCAACCTGTGAAAACCGTTTTGAAATTGGACGATTGAGAGGCGAGCAAGGTCTTTTAAACGAGCAGCTTCAAACTCTGTTGTTCTGGATGAAAATAAATAAATAAAAACTTGTGGGCTGTTGTAGTTCACCCAGGACTGGACTTTATTCTGTTATGTGGTTTATTTTGATAGGTGAACTGTCCTTCAGCTGGACATTATAAATCGCTATTTTTCTGCACTAAACTAGTGAATTTTCCCAAGATATATTAAGAGATGATAAACAAGATGTTATAGAATAATAATTTAATAAAAACCCAATTTTGACAAAAAACTGACATTCAGTCTATATTTAGACTTTACTGAAAACGCATCAGCGCGACATCCGACGGGTTTTCCCAGATCGCATCACATATAGTACAGCGTACACCCCCAATGAGGTGCGGGTTTGGTCTATTAGTTTACTGCATTAGTCCATTAAGCTATGTTAAGCTTTTTTGTCCCGACGGAAGAGGAATCCTTGAGTATGATGAAGTATTGGGGTATTACAATCCTGTTAAACAGTTTGAATATTTTGGAAGTGAAATATGAAAGGTGAATATGGATTATTGATTTTTTTAATAATAAAAATGTGTTTGAAATGTTTCGAATTGAAATATTCACAGCTTAAGTATTCAATCATGTTGAATTTCAGCCCATAAAAATGCAAGCCCTAAAAAATACAATGCATTGAAATGCATTTTTTAAGGTAGTGCAATTCAACAGGCTTTTTTTGTTTCAAAAACATATGCCATTATTTTACTTCCATATGTGTGTGTGTGTGTGTGTGTGTGTGTGTGGCTCACTTATTGACTTATGGATCAATACGTCTGCCAGTGAGTGTAATTGGAACAGATCAGAGTAAAACACTTTCTTAATTGTCTTGTAATCCAACTTTGTTTTAATTTCTCCTTTGAATTGTAAAACATGGCGGATTTGGAAATACAACTGTCCCTCTAAAACCTTAATTAATCTGAAGGTTCTGTGATCACTTTAATAGAGCCTCTGAATTAATAGAATAAAACGTTTAGCTGAACTGCCAGTTTTTCAACATATCGTTTAAAACTCAAAATACCTTCAAAATAATATTAATATACGACATTTTAATACATTTAAAAATATATAAAAGATGCATTATAAATTAATACAGCTGTAGCTATTATATCTGTCCTTTTTACGACCAAACCAAACAGATTGTAGTTCCTGCAGACAGATTAAAAAAAATACACAATTAATTAAATGCAAATTGTATGCACAATATGCTTATTAATTATATGCTCTTTGTTTCTATCTGTCCACAGCTACAGTTATGATCCGATAAGTCGGAGTCATATATGAAGTGTCTCTTCACATTATTTCCAGTCTCTGCCATGGAGCCCCACTTGGCATAATTAATTAGGCTTAAATTCAGCTCCTTCTGCTTAAATGAGCTGTTAACATGGCCAGCGGGCAGAAGCAGCGGGGGTGTGGGATGGAGTAAATCCACACAAACACAGTTAACAAGTAAATGGGTGGAGAACTAATTAGTGTTATCTCCTTATCATGGAGCATCCTCATTTACCCAAGACAAGAGTGACACACAATCACAAAAAATGTGCTTAAGGGGTGCTCTTACTGAAAGACACACACACACACACACACTAATACCCTATTGCAAACAGCTAATTACAAACTCGTTTGCAAATCAATGAGACACTGTTGCGTATCTCCCCCCTCCCGTCTACAACACGCTGGTGCCATTCGCAAAATAAACGACTGCTCCACTTCCCCTTGTGTTGTTGTGGAGTGGAGGAGAAAAGATAAACTGTTTTCCAATCAGCGGAATAGGAAGAGCACACACACACACATACACACACACACGATTTATGGGGACTTTCCATAATGATTTTTATATTATCATATATTGCCACTTTTGTAAGGACATCTGGTCCCCATAATGCTGGCCACACACACACACGTGTTTTCATGTTTTATGGGGACTCTCCATAGACGTAATGGTTTTTGTATTACAAACTATTCTCTCACCTTTCACTAACCTGAAGCCTACCCATCACACAAAACTTTCTGCATTTTTACATTTTCAAAAAACATGATTTATAGGCTATATAGTCATGATTTATGATTTATAAGCTGTTTTCCTCAGAGAGAGAGAGAGAGACTCACAATACACAGAGAGAGAGAGACAAACACACAAACTGAGTGAGATAGACAAACACACACTCACGTACACAGAGAGAGAGAGACAAACACAGACTGAGAGAGAAACACACTCACACACAGACACAAACCGAAACATGCAGACACACTAACACATATATACATTATAAAGTATATATACACACACACAGTATATATGTGTTTGTACTGTATATACACATATATTTACAAACTTTTATGTTAGATGCGATTAATTGTGATAATTGATTTAACAGCATTAAATAATATAATCATTATATTTATGAATTTGTTTTACTAAAAGTGAAATGTTAAATCTCTTCAGCTTATTTATGATTTTGTGTTTACATGCTTAGATTTAAGATTACATTAAGATGTCAGTTGTCAGCATTTTCTGGATGTGTGAAGTTTATTTTCCTCTTTATCCGATTTGTCTCGTCACACATTCACCTGTTGACCTTTGACCTCTATACTGTCATAGTGTTTTATTTACAATTTACCGTTAATTTAAAATGCGTAAAGTTGACCTGCTGTCGATTACTACTGATAAAAAAATTGTGTGATGCATGTGCAAATAAACAGCAAATCATGCTCCATTTCAAA